CGAGTTCGTTTTCTACCACGCCAGATCACTCGAGCTCGGGCCCAAGACGCGTGAGCGCGACAACAATGGCGTCGCGTCGAGTTGCTACAGCCACTTCCCAATTAGGTCTCCTTTATCCAAATCGTTCCGGTGATGCCATCACGACCACGCAAGCCCATAGGGGATGATGTCGCTGTGGAAGGTTGCCTACAGTGGTCAGTTGAAAGACATGAAGTCTTTCAGCCTCTCAGGACGTGCAGATGGGGGTCAGTGCGGGCGCATTGACAGGTCAGGTGGGGCTACGCGTGACGTCGCCGCGATTGGTCAAATTCACATAACTACCTAAGGTACCTTACCACCTAAGGCATCTAAGTAAGTAGGTAGGTACCTACCTAGAATTGGATGACCTTAGGAGCCAATTATTCACCCCAGCATGATGGAAACGACAGTGATGGATGCTGCCCGGGTTGTTGTCTGAAATGGGTCTTCTGAGCGCGCGAGGGTAGGAGTGAGACTTTGAACAGATCTCAGTTGATGGATCCTGAGACTGTATAAAACCACCTGGCTTTCATCTACTATAGGTATACCTAGCCGTAATTTAGGTACCAACTTACCAACCTAAGTACCTTATATAAGATATTGCACCTAATAAAAGACAGAAAACCAGGACAAAGATTCCTTGTTCTATCCGTCAAGTTACGTCAAGTTATGAAGAAACTACCAATGGAAGGTTAGTAGTAAATGGTTCTCAGAATCAAGCTTGGGCCAACAAATTATGGGACAAAGACCGGTAACTCAATGCTAATTTTTGACGATATAATTTTTCTTCAAAAGCAGGACTCGGATCATGGTTCGCGATTGGTTTGCTGAGATTCTGGTAGGGTAGAGACACATAGGCACCTCTCAATCGCTTCGCCGAGCGATTCTTTTCTTTGTATACTTATGCAGTAACTTCAATTGTAAGATAATCTAAACACCATATGTACATTCGCTAAAGCCATCATTTACATCAAACCAGCGTGTCTCGATAACCTTTGAGGTCAACAGTCTCCACCCCTTACAATTGCGCCAAAGTAGGTCCCAACTTCTTTGTACAAAAGGTCGAGAAATACTCGTTCAAAGCATCCACTGTTCCGCTACCTTCGACAAGGCTGACCACGATTGCTACGTATCCATCAGGTCTAACAACGACCACTCCACCAAGCTCTTCATCAAGGCCCATTTTGGCATGGGCTACAGCCTTCGCCTGAGGAAATCGTGCATCAGACCGGTCATCAGCGTAAACATGGTCCCTATATCGGGCAAGCACTCCAGGCACATCGCGAGAGATCTCGATTTCAGGTCTCTTGGACGAAAAGACCGTGGAGATGGTAAAGAATCGGCTGTGTGGGAGGTGCTTCTCATGGTATGAGACCTTATCGAGATCGGGCCGCTGATAAGCTGCGTAGAACGACCGCTGGCTACCGAGATGATTGGCGAAATCTTTCAAAGCCTGGCGGGTCTTTGAAGGGACACCTGCAAAGACAAACAATCGGAACGCGCCATTCAAGGGTACTTCCTGCTCCAAATGCACAACGTTGGCGTCAACTACTCTTGTTACATTCGAGTTGATAAAAAGGCGGCCGGTTCGTAGCTTGGTCCCCTTTGGGTGAATCAGTGGGGATTGTGCATTATGTTCTGGTGACCAGTTGAAGACGTTGGGCTTGTAGTAAACACCGTATCCACTGGTAAACTCGCACGACTCCTTGAAAGCATTGATGAACTCGTTGTCCTGAACATCGTTCTTGCCATGGTTGGCTGACGCTGCCTGGACCTCAGCAGCCGCGGGTGGTCGCTGAGAGAAAAGCTTCGCATATCGGTTATCAAAATCGAGGAGAGACTCAGCGACATGCTTGCGTTCCGTTTCATATGTCTTGAGGACTTCCCTGCTGGCAAACCCGGATTCAACGGCGTGGATCTTCCAAGCAAGGTTTTGGGCATCAAGGAATGCTGTGTTCATTCCCTGACCGGCCTTAGGCTGTGGGTGTGTCAGCGCGTGGTGACAATTGGAGCACGGGAAGACTTACACTATGTGTATGGCAAGCATCTCCACCAAGGAAGACTCGCTGGTCCAGTGTGTATCGTTCTGAGATGCCTTGTCCGATAGGATAGACGGAGTACCACTCGACGCGCTCCCACTCAATTGAGTAAGGCTGCAAGATCTTTTTTGCCGATTCTTGCACTTGCTCCTCGGTGGCTGTTCGTCTCGGGTTCCAGTCGGGATCTGTAGACGATGCAATCTGGATATAAAGACGGACCATGTTGTCCTCTCGCGGAATGACCATAATGGAGCCGTGCTCACTATGGATGGTACATTTCATCTGAGCGTCATCAGTACACCATGAAATAGGGCTTGTTGAGCAGCTGTGCTTACCTTGATATCTGGGAAGTCGGTTTTCACGACACCGTCCATGACACCCCAAACATGGGCGATGGGATCCTTGTGGCGAACGGCAATGCCAAGCTGGTTGCGGATAAATGACCTTGCACCCTCGCCACCAAACAGATACTTGGCGTGAATGGTCTCCTGTGCAGTACCATCGACATGCTCCAATTCGACAGTGACAGGATATTCGGGGTTAGACTTCTCATCGGAAGTAAAGCCCTTGATTGTCCATGGCCGTTGGACCTGTGCTCCATTCTTCTCGAGGTCGGAGATAAAGACACGCTCGATCAGACCTTGGTGCAGCAAGGTTGTGAAAGGGTATCGAGCATCGATAAAATCAGGGCAGCTGGCCCATGTTCCAGTCCGGGCGATACCCTTTCCCGACGAAGCTGGATCCCAGAAGGCAACTTCGTAGACGCGAGCTGGGTGATGAGCCATGATTGCTGACTTTAAGCCCATGTTGCGAAGAAGGTCCAGAGAGCGTGGCTGAATGCCATCGGCTCGACCGGTAGGGGTCGGCTCAGCTCTGTTGTCGATATGCTTGATCTTGTAGCCCCAACGAGCAAGGCATGTTGCGAGCATGAGGCCAACCGGGCCAGCTCCAACAATGACTAGCGATGTTAGCATTCAATTGGTTGGTATGGCCAACAGCGTCAGACTACTCACCAATGTCATAGTATGGGGAGCGATCGGGCTGTGATTGAGACATTGTGTAGTAAAAGAAGAGGTGTTTGGCTAGTTAGGTATCTCCTGGTGTGGTCAATCTGAGGAAACAAGAGGCAGAGTTGATGGGGGGTCGCATATTATATGCTAAAATGCGATAGGCATGATATCCAGAGATGCCGGGGGTCTGGCCGGACATGCTGTAAGCAGAAGTCTGGTGCGACTCAGACCCGAGGGGAATTGACGGCATCAGACTTCGGTACGGGATGTGGAGTGCATATCTGCTGTCTGGTGCATTGTTTTTAGATAGAGATTCTGGCCTAAATGTTCTAGCCAACGGAAAATATCCGCTTCGTGGTTTGGCGAGACGAATAATCACTTGTCGTCATGGGGTCGAGCTGTCTTGAGTGTGGGGTTTCTGGGGCGAAGAGGAGACCAGGAATCGAGACTGCCTATTTGGGAAATCGGGAGTTGATTTCGGGAAGCCGCAACCGGGTCCGGCTTTTGTCTCGGTTGCAGGGGCGCCGGGGAACGATGGAGCCTGTTAGTATTGGGTCATGAAATACTGCTCGATCTTAACATATCTTAACTGCACCCGTGCATTGGGTCGTACTACAGCGCCCGGGAGTGGGCCCTTCGAATGCCGGGCAGGAGGCCGAGATCTCATTTCTCCAAGATCCAGTCCTATGTGACAATGAACGGTCTGGCGTTAGTAATTGACTGGGGTTATGTTGAATGAAGACATGAAGGTCCTGGTCCTGTTCCCAATCTACGGTGTGTAGAGTGAGTGCGCGAGACGGAGTCGTCCCTTCAGCTTGGTTGTCTCTGAGGTGGAAAGCCCAGCGACCTACCTACATGAAACCACCTTTGATACAGAACTGCTTTCCTGCCTCAACGAACCACTTTCTGAGCTTGACCCAAGGTACACACATGACTGCCTTACCCTAGACTTTGCTAAGGTAATGTAGAAGGAACTATGCCTTTGAACTTCTCTGTTGTGTGTCAAGTGCCGAGTATTCGAAAATGGAAGTCACTATTCTTTCAATAGCCCCAGGCGATGTACCACGAGTGTTGTTGCACTGGAAACACAAGCTCAAGATGTCCCTTCCACTACCGCGACACTTTTGTCTTGTGATCTTGCATGTACAACAAATAGAAAAGTTCACTTATTGAATGTCGAAACGTGATATCTTTTGCGAATCACCCACTTGCGAGGCTTGTAAGCTGCTATTCGGACTTAAACGAACGATTATCCAAGACCAAGTGATACGGGAATGGGCGATACCACCCAATTTTCTGCCTACCTCGCAAGAGATCGGTCCTTGAACATCACAGATATCTTTGACGAAGAGAGTCAGTGTAGGCATGAGACAAACTTAGAACGTCGACTAACAGACACCTCGCAGAATGCCGCAACGTTCTTGTGAGATATTGCGCCCACATACCTCGTAACTACCAGTACCGTGATGGAATCCGGCTTGTCAGATGCCTACACATCGACAAAGAATGCTTCCTGACGTGATTTAGGTCTTCCTAGTATTACGAGACCACCTTGGTGACGAGTTCCTTGGGTACGCAGGAGGCGTACTCTACGAGATGATTGAAGTCGATTGCCATCATTCGGATGACCCAGGTGCAGCATTTCAGCGTTGGAGACATGATCACTTGAACAGACATGTGGGAAACCCTCGATTGGACTCACGACGGCCATTGGTTCTGACAAAAGGAGCAGACTGATCTCGAACTCCCTCATGTCCCGCACCTCACAACTGTTACGTCCAATATCATACCAACAACTGCCCTTACAGAGTGGAGAAAAAGCCACCCTCAAAGATATCGCACTCGACTTTCAGACTACTCACCTATAATAGCAAGGTCATCACTTTACCCAAGCGGTATCGGTATACGAAAGAACTGGATGATAGAACATACGATGTATGTTTCATCTCGCGACGGGGGTACCCGTGCGTTTCGTCAGCTCAAGGCCAGGGAGTTTCACGAGATGCAATGGAATGAGAATATGATTCATAAGGGCAGACTGGTTGGTGAAAAGTCAATTGACCTCGACGAATTACCCAAAAGAAGAGCCACGGAAACGCATCAGGCACAGACCGAGCGCCGTCATCACCGTCGATCACTGAGCTCCAAAATCATCAGCCCAGAGAAGATGACTCAAATTATACATATGTTCCGCGTGACAGACAAGGGAAGCGGGAAAAATGAGAATCAAAAGCCTGCACTGGTCCAAGATGATCATTCCATCATTCTGACCCACGACACATTCAAACAGCAGTTCGATGCTCAGGTCAGGGACTGCGAAATACCCAACGCCAACTTTGCGAGGAAGTTTGGGTTGTTCACCAGCGACAGATCGCTTCCACCTTTCATAAGAGAACTGCCAGTCGCCGAAGATAAAGCAATGGATATGATAACTGCCTCTCCAACAAAAGGAGTATTAAACTCCTGGAGGTTCCACGGCCCTTTCACGCCTCAACTTTGGTTCGACAGTGGCATTGATTACAGATGGAAACACCGCTCCCATTAGCTACAACTGATGTTCCAGGCGGTGTTGCAGGATATGTTAAATTTTGGCAAGCAGATGAGGTGAGTATCTCCAACAAGCTTTGCTGGGGACTTATAGATCATTTCAACAGCAAAGTAGCATATGTAAGATGTTGCATTATCGTTGACACTTGTTGCCAGCTGACCACAATTCGGCACCCAAGTTTTCGACTGGTCCAACCGAAGTCCCTGATTCATTCAAGCATTCATTCACCGTGCTAGCATTTCTCGTTTTTGTTTCCTGGCTTTCGTTCAAGTGCTTTGCCTGAACCTCGACCGTGATATGTCACCATCAACCTGTATCCTCGGAGCTACTGTTAAGTAGCTACTGGGATTCGAGATTCTGGGCTCGATGCAACAAGAAAGTTCGAATAGAGGGCGCTACTCCGACCCTTCAGCATCCGTATTGACGCCTTTAAGAGGAGACTTCCTGGATATCTCACCAGGATTCGAGTCGCGAGCGCGTTCGCTATCTCCGCGCAAGCGTCTTGTCAAACAACCCCTTCGTATTCGTATGAATTTGACTGAGAGCCAAGTTGACAAGATTACGGACGCGTATGTCATATGTCTCTCTTAATTTGTATTTCCAACTGACTTTTCTGAAGTTTCAGTCGTCAAGTCGATAAGAGCCCAACGAAGGCTGCTAAGTTCAAGAAAAAGTCTACGATGGCCACTCCAAGAACGATTCCAAGGTCAACACCACGAAAGAACAAACCAAGACTTCTACAGTATGAGGATTCCTACGGCTGGACTACTAGAGAAGATGGTCCCTCTGATGTGAATTCTCCAACCTTTTCGGAGCTTATGCCCGGTCGCCATTCGGACTCTTCCAAGGACTTGTTCTCTGCCAGTTTAGCGGAACGTCGACATATCAACCCGCCTTCTCCGTTGCAGCTTGGGAATCCCCGTCGCAGTGGGGCAGTTCCTCGGCCAGCCGAGATGGAAGATATTCCCGATTCAGTCTCTCCTTTGGGGCAGGGAACCTTCGAGCGTGAGCTGATCTTCGACGATGATGCCTCTTCGGTCTACTCCCCTCAACAAACTGCCCGCCCATCACCTCTTCGCCTCAGCCACGCCAGGTCACAATCAAAATTCAATGGTGCTGAGGAGGGTTCATTTCAAGAGTGGAAAAGGAGCCACGATTCCTCCATGATCAGGGAGTCGGTAAGCCATCCAGAGGATCTGGTCAACAGGCCGCGACGGTCGAAGAGCTCTGCCGATGGACTGAGACAGGCCCGAGCCATCGCAGTGCACTCTCCACCGATCCCACAAGTCGTAACAGTGGGCTCCAATATCAGCAACTATCGTCGGGCTGTTCAAGACACTCCCGTATTCTCACCACTGCAGTTCTATTTCAGAGGAACAGACTACCCAAGCTCCAAGAAGGGCGAAAAAATAATGATTGGGGATAACGGGTGGCTCGAACGCCCTGACGGCAGGCCTGATCAAAGCGCAAAGACGCCCCAGAAGAAGACTGGAATTTTGGACAACATCAAGAAACTCGCAAAAGACATGGTATGTTGGTGAAATACAGCGTTAGATGTTTGTACTAATTCAAACGCAGACGGAGCTTCATTATACCTCTCGTCGGGCGCCCACCGTCCGGTCTCGGCCGACATCACAGGTCACCGTTTCACTAAATGCCAGAGAGCAAAGCCTTCTCTACTGCGAACTGGAGTTCAACCTTAGCACTGCATTGAATGAATATATTACGGTGCAGCTGGACAAGGGTCGGCTTGTGCCTGACAAGCTCAAGAAGGTAGCAGATGCGTGGCATAACAAGGGCCGACCTAAGGTTGTTGGTTTCCGCTACGACCTGGAGACGCAGCTTGAACTTATCAACCTGCATGCCGACGATTTTCGTTTTTATGGCCGCCGACAAGCCGATCCTGTTGAGATTGGCGGGCTCCTGCACACTATGAAGGTCAATGCTAGAGCAATGTGTGTCCGGACACTTTGCCAGCCAGATTCTGTGATTGCGAAGCAGTTGGTCGACACCCAGTCAACCTTTAAAATGCTTGATGTCCCAGACTACCAGCAGCGCGCGCTGGCTGACATAGCTCAGTTCTTCAAGGTGATTGTGGAGCGAGAGCAAGATGCTCGAGAACACACTGGAGGTAATGGCAGGGACTCCAGCAACCGAGGCGAGCGACAGCGGGCAGCGGTTCAGGAAGGGATATGATTTAATGGGCTTGTTACTTATAACAGGTCATGGTTTTGGTCTTGTTGCTTTCGATTGAGTTGAGTTGGTTGGACAGCACGTCGTCATGGAGCTGGAGAGTTGCAAACAGAACAGGGGATTCAGCTGCAATAATCGTTGTCATGGTGGCGAATACATTGTAAAATCGATACGACAAGCAATCCTAGAATTTGTCAAAAAGGACTCTCATAGGCACATGAAATCAATACATGACACCGTAAGCACTTTAGAAACAGAACTGTATCGACTATGTATATATCCAAGAGGCGCCAAGTTATGTCCCGTGAGATCTGCAAAAGTTGATATCCAGACTGATGGTTCAGCCTGTGATAATGAAAAACACTTCTAGTACCGCTCGCAGTTTTTAAACGTCAGTTAATATAAACCAAGAGAAGAAGGAAATAAAAAGAAAATAAGCGAAAGAACTACTGTCGTTAGATGTCATAATGAAGCAGTAATAGGTAGTCGAGGGGAAAAAGAAAGGTCGACTATTGCCGATAGCGGTAGTTATCCTCGCTTCTACGTCGCCTAGGTTCTCGATCTTCGCATCGCGGATCATCGTAGACGAAGTCATAATCATCATCATCGTTTTGGGGTAGTGCCCTGCCGCGATCATACCGGTCACGATCACGATCGCGGCGGTCGTCCTCTCTATCACGGTCACTGGATCTCCGTTGCTCGTAGCGGGGCATCTCCTGCTCGCGCACGTAGCTGCGCTCACGCTCCCAGTCGAGTTGACGTCGTCGGTCTCGCTCCCTCGAATCCTCAACCCTATTGGCGAGAGCATTGGCTCCAAGACCACCAGCGACAGCGCCGAGAATGGTGGAAACGAGACGAGTGCGGTCCTCGTTCTCGTCTTCGTAACCTCGGGTCTTGTGCTTGCGGCGTGTTGCAGCTTCAGTCGCCTCGCGAGCTACAAGACCACCAACGACAGCGCCTAAGATACCGGCGCCGATGCCGCCGGCGGAATGAGAGAAGTTCTCATCAACGACGTTCCGAGCGCGGGTGATGGGACTTTGTGAGCGGTTTCGCGAGCTCCGTCTGTCATCATAGTCTTCGTCATCCGAGGGAGGACGGGAGCGGGAGCGACTGCGTCGGACCATGGTGGTGTTTGGTGGGACAGATCGTGGGCGGTTCTGAGACTCGGGGGGCTCGAGGGTCATGCGCTCCCGCGGAGGAGGAGGAGGCATGCCGCCGTAGTAAGGGTCATCAAGACGAGAGGTCGAGGCATAAGGAGGAGCGCCAGGAGGGGGAGGAGGAGGAGGAGGAGGAGGTCCTTGTTGCTGAGGCCCCGAGGCACCACCGGAATAGTTGTCCGGAGAAAAGTCGCGTCGGCGACGAGAGTACTCTTCGTACTCGTAGTAGTCTTTTGACATTGTATGGTATAAGTAAGTGTAAAGCGACGCAGAGCGAGACGGTTGGTTTTGGTATAAGGCAGGTATAGTAGAGTACCTTAGGCGAGACGAGGGGAAGTTGGAGGCTTATATTATGTGGCTGAGGTGGACAACAGTCAAGAGGCACCCTAGCTCAACGGGTGGACGTCAGTCTTGTGAGGACAAATAACTACACGCCGTGTAAGTACCTTAGTTGCGAGGAAGACTAAGAAACTAAGTACCTAAGGTACCTAAGTGTTAAGGCAAGATACCTTAGCTGAGTTGTAAGAGCTGAAGTAGTGAGTGGCGCAGCAGCAGTTTAGGCTTTTGAAGATGTAAGTAGTGTGTATCACATGAGGTAGCTGATAACGACGAGTCCCTTTTAGCTACAGTACATACATCAGATAGACCAAGAGACGGAAATACCTACCTAGTAGGTAGGGCTGCCTGGTAAAAGTAGAGGCGCATCGTGGACAGGAGAGGAGAGGACAGGACGGGAGAGGACAAGGCTCGGAAGCTGATGACGTCATAAAAGACCCCGCGTGGCGTATCATTTCATCGCTGTACACAGCCTCATTTCAACACGTCCACTGTATTGGGGATACCTACCTAGGTAGGTATATGATGAAGAACTCTCCGGGATTCCCTTTTCTCTTCAGCTGTGCGCAAACCACATCCGATAAGATCCAACCTCACCGTTTTCATTGGCCTGAGCCATGAAAGTCGCAAAGTTGGGTGCCCTCTGGAGTTGAGAGTATTGCTTGTGATGTATGAGGTTTGGTGTCTTTACATAATGCCCGACTATCACCCACAGATAATAGACAGAAATATTGCGCTGATGTTTACTGACTGCGTGGTGGACTTGAAAATGAATCCCCAGATCCAATGGTGTTATTGCCAGACTTGAAATTGGACTTAAGGCTACCGTCCCGTTATCCCGCCCGGTTTTCAAACACTTTGTTATTAATAAACAAGAGTTGACATTGGATGCTCAACTCAACTGGCAAATAAATTATGGATCTCTCAGTAGTGGGTGGGTGCATTATTCATTCTAGCGAGAAATTTACCCGACCTTACATTAGTACCTGCTAAGGCACTTACTTACCTGACTTACTAACTACTAATATAGTAGCATCATGTACATATAAGTTATGCGGTCTCGTATGAAGAGACTTCATATCTCTCCCGACAAACGTATTTCTACTACAAAATCAATCAGGATCGATATTCAAGCTCATTATCGACCTTTCAATGAAACCGAACTCGAACTCGAACTCGAAATCTTGCCAGATAGAGCAAAGTCAACAACAGAATCATGACGACGAGCTAGAAGAGAAGCTGGGCTCTGTGGAGGCCGTGCAGCAGCCCGAAACGAGAACCAACGACAGCGGAGAGTCGGTCAATGAACTTGAGCATTGGAACAGCCCTCGAATAAACTCGTATCGTTACTATGCCACCAATTTCTCGTTTCTCATCATGGGCATGAATGATGCATCTCCAGGGGTAAGTCAAGTTACTACTGCCTCTGTCATGGAAGCCTGGAGCTTCGATGATTGACTGCAATCGGTCTACTAACTAACTACCCACTCACAGGCTCTGCTGCCATACGTGCGTGTGTTCTACTGAATCGTCTACTACTCGTTTCTAATGTGCATAGATCGAGACATACTATGGCATCAACTACACCACCGTCTCTACTCTCTTTCTCGTACCTGTAGCTGGTTATATAGTCGCTGCACTCACCAATAACTGGATACACTACACCCTAGGCCAACGAGGCGTTGCAGTTCTTGGGCCTCTCTGTCGTCTCATCGCCTACATTCCCGTGGCACTTCACCCTCCATTTCCAGCGCTACCCTGTGTAATGCTGTTCACTGGTTTCGGTAACGGCATCCAAGATAGTGGCTACAATGCCTGGATTGGCAACATGCACAGAGCCAACGAGCTCTTGGGCTTCCTCCACGGCGCCTATGGCCTCGGTGGTACCATTGGCCCTCTGATCGCATCTGCCATGGTAACTGAGGGAAGACTGAACTGGTTCACCTTCTACTATATCATGATAGGACTTGCTGTGGTTGAGCTTGTCGTCGGAACAGCCGCGTTCTGGGGTGCAACCGGCCAAGTGTATCGACAGCGAGTTCGCTACGACGAAGCTAAAGACCGTGCAACAACACGCATGGCACTCAAGAAACCCATCACCTGGATAGTTGCCGTCTTCCTCCTGGGATACGTTGCGACTGAGGTTAGCTTGGGGGGTTGGATTGTCACTTTCATGCTTCGAGTACGACATGCCAAACCTTTCCTTGCTGGCTTGACAGTGACACTGTTCTGGCTCGGGCTGACATTGGGTCGAGTTGCTTTGGGCTTCGTCACAGAGAGGACTGGTGAAAAGACGGCCATCATGGTCTATCTTGTGCTCTCCATAGGGTTGGAACTGCTGTACTGGCTTGTCCCCAACTTCGTCGCCTCTGTCATCTTCGTCATGCTTCTTGGGTTCTTTCTGGGGCCTCTGTTCCCCGCTGCCATGGTTGCTGCAACCAAGTTACTCCCAGCTGATTATCACGTCAGTGCCATCGGGTTCGCGGCAGCGGTTGGAGGAGGTGGTGCAGCTGTGGGACCATTCGCGGTCGGTGCCATCGCGCAAAAGACCGGAGTCCAAGTTTTGCAGCCTATAATCGTCGGTCTCATTGGTGCTATCACTCTGATATGGCTTCTCCTCCCAGGAGGTTTCAGAAAGGGAGGTCTCGAGAGAGCAAGGGAACAGAACTTGAGGCCTGGAGGTGATGTGAAGGAGGCTTGGCTGTGGGCCAAGTCGAAGGTGGCCTAGATGCTGTAAATACAGCTATGTACATACCTAGGTATCTATCTGTCATTTTGTAAGAATTGATGCAATAATTATTTGCTTCTTTTATACAACTTGTTTATCGTAGGGTCATATACCTAGTAGTCGGTATGTGAGTTTATTATGCACCTTGTAGTCAGATCTATGCTCAGTACGTCACTGGCTCAATAGAGGGGGTACCTTACCTTACCTGCTACCTTAGTACCTAGTACTAAGGTACTTATCTTATCACTCAACCCCCATCCATCATCCATCACATTGTGGACTTTTTGACCTAAGGAGGGGAAATGCTCAAATGAACCGTTAGACTTCACCACCTCAACTCTTTCTTGGTTATTACCTAAACATCCTATTCCAGGCGGCGCACTCTCAAACATTGAAATCTCCGTGGTTCGTCGTCAATTGCCCTCTCGCCTTCGAGCCTTCGAGCTTTCGCTCATCATGGCGCCGACTTCGGCCTCCATCACTGCCCTCACGCCCCTCAAACCTGACCTTCACCAACGCGCCTGGGCCTCGGTTCCTCACCCGACTCTTCCTCTGATCGCAACCGCTCACGGAAAGGCCGTCACTGTGTTCTCTCTCTCGACAGCTTCGGCCCACAGCGTCCTTACCGGAGGCCACACCCGCTCCGTCCGCTCTGTCGCATGGAAGCCCCATCTGCGCCCCGGCAACCTATGTCTCGTCACTGGCAGTTTTGACTCTACAGCTGGAATATGGCGCTGGGAGGGTCAGGAACAGAACGGGGGAGGACTGGAGGTTGAGGTCAC